TAAATGAAGATTTATCAGAACCACCATGCTCACTTGTTTTTGTATTATCTATGCCTACTCTTGGGTTACAGTGGCAGAGTTGAGGAGCTGTGACAGACTGTATGGCCTACAAAGCCTAGAATATTCACTGTCTGGCCTTGTACAGAAAAGGTTTGCTGACCCCTATTGCAGAATCACCAGGGTAGCCTGAATTGGATCATACAGAAATAATGGTCCCTAAAGATGTGCACATCCTAATCCTCAAAACCCATGAGGACTTATTTACCTTACATATCAAAAGGGACTTTGCAGATGGGATTAAGGATATTGAGATGACCTTATCCAGAGGGGCCCAATGTAATCAAAAGGATCCCCAGAAGAGAGGCAGGAGGACCACAGAATGAAGATAGTGTCAGGGCAGAGACATTGGAAGACGCTATGCTGCTGGCTTTAATGATGGAGAAAGGGAACATAAGCCAATGCAGGCAGCTTCTAGAAGCTGGAAAAGGCAGGGAAACAGATTCTCCCTTGGAACCTCCAGAAGGAACTGGCCCTACCGACACTGTCTAGCTGAGTGAGTGAGACTGATTTTGCACTTCTGACCTCCGGAATTATAAGAAATTTGTGTTGTTTTAGGCCACAAACTGTGGTAATTTGTTATAGCAGCAATAGGAAACCAATACAATACGATAAGTCCAAGTAGCTCTGATGAAATTGCCAATATTCTCCAACTGAAGTTGGCTTAATGACAATTCATTGATCTTCAGTGAATCCCATTTGAGTTTGCAGACGACTACACCATCTTTTCAGCCCTGCTAAACACAGGTTTCAGTGCTCATACCTGTCCCTCTGCTGGCAAACTGCCAGCATCTTATTCAGCATCATCATTTTTGGAGGTAATCTTTTCTTGACCTCAGCGGAGAGGTTGTGGGAAGGTCCTTTGTTAAAGTGAGTCATGGTGACTCTGTAAGAGGCGGCTGCGACACATCAGCAGTCTCTCTCAGCTTCCCTGATCCTGGACCTGAGGAGTGGCTATGGGAAAGGTTTGGAGCTTGACTCCTCTTGGGTGTCTCAGGGGATAACTAGCATGGTGGTACACAGGCAGTGACTTGTGACATGGTTGAGGCCTGCAGACCTCTCCCCGCCTACCCCCGATCTGCAGTGGAGTCCCATGCATCGGCCGGCTCCCAACGTCTCCCGAATGAACACCCTGCCGCCGCCCAGACCAGAATGCTTGCTCCCTCTCACCACACCACCAGAACTTACCTCTGGGAAAACACTACACTGGCTCCCTTTTCTTGGAGGGTCACCCCTGAGTGGGGTGAGGGAATAACTTGCAAGGTCTGCAATTTGTTGTTGAACACTCCCTTCTTGATACATGCAAAATACTAATATCGATCTTCAGTAATACTCGCATGGAAAGTTCCAGTGGGCTGAGTGAGATACAGCAAGGGTTCTCCTGTACCTAAGAAAGACATAAGAGTAAAATCTTCATCAATACAACATATTAATATATAGAGAAGTTTAAAATCCTGACCTGTACGGTGATTTAGAATGATGCGTATACATCTTGAAGTTTCTTGGTCCTCGGGCTCTAAGGTTCTGCAAGTGAAGCATCTGTGTCCTTCTAGGGCCTGTTTGTATTCCTGACCCTGAAACAAAACCCACATAAACAGAGTCCCAGCTGCACAACTAATTAAAACAGAGTGACACAAAATTCAATCCTTATTAGAACCACGTACTACTGAGCTCCTAGAGCTCAGTGCGCAAAAATTTACACACGTCATCTTATTTGGTTCCCACAATAATTTTGAGAGGAAAGCCAGAAATCGAGACTTTATAGATGGCAATTCCCACCACTTCTCCATTCTCCTAGGACTTTTGGATGAAAGCACAACTGAAGAGCTACTTCCAGACAGGGAAGGGAGAAAATTCATGAGAGGAAGCAAGTAGGCAAACCGGATTGAGAGATTTTCCTCAATGACATTTCCTTCTGTTGTGTCTGAAACATCTGACACCCTTTCCTTCCGTGGTTTCTGTAACTCTTACTTTTCTGACGGCAGAAAAGCCCATTTACAAAAATTGCCTTGACGGATGTTCTCAAACTTGGATGTGTGCACAAATCACGTGGGGCCTGCATTTCCAGCAGCTCCCAGGTTAGTGACGGTGATGCCACTGGGCTGACAGCCACACTTGCGGAAGCAAGACAAGCAGACATCTAGTGTTTAAAACAAAAGACACATTTTCAGAAACCCGTCCCCATCCCAATGACCTCCTCTTTGCCAGTGATTCCATCATTTCTTTAATTTCATATTCTTTATAGGATGCTTTTTTCCACTCTCAAGCATTCTTATATCCGAAGCAGTTAACTTTTTTTCCTATTAGATTTTCTTGCCTTTGATCTGTAGTCCCTCCCAATCATCTTGTAACATTTAGCTTTCCTAAAACAGGCAATCTACTTAAGAACTTCCAAGAGTTTATTACCAGACTCATCAAATCTAAATTCCTTGACTTGAACCTCAAGGCTCTCCGATTTATCACTATGTATCAGGCAGTGTTCTAGCACTCTCCATGTTCCAACTCATTCAATCCTTACAACAACCCATGAGGTGGCTAGTGTTACCATCTACTTTAGAGGTGGGAGCTGAAGCATGGGTTGGGTAAGTTGCCAGGGTCATACAGCTCTTAGGTGTCTCAAGCCAGACAGTCTGGCTCCAGAACAAGGTGTAAAAACTCAGCTAGAGAACTCGTTTAAATTCAGGATTCATCAAAAACTTGATGTGTGACTTGGGGAAGTCACAATGTCATTAGATCTCATTTTCCTAGTTCATAAAATGAGTTGGCCTAGTTGATCTGTAAGTTTCTGTACCACAGAGTCTACCTATTCAATCATGTTTTCTATCCCTTAACAATATCAGACAATCGGGGCACCTGGGTGGCTCAGTTGGTTAAGCGTCCGACTTCGGCTCAGGTCATTATCTCACGGCTTGTGAGTTCGAGCCCCGCGTCGGGCTCTGTGCTCATAGCTCAGAGCCTGGAGCCTGTTTCAGATTCTGTGTCTCCCTCTCTCTCTCTGACCCTCCCCTGTTCATGCTCTGTCTCTGTCTCAAAAGTAAATAAACGTTAAAAAAAAAAAACAATATCAGACAATTGCTTCACAGTCACCCACACATCATCCTCCACCTCCCGTCCCCAGCCCCGTCTGGCTGCTACTCCAAGCCTTGTTACTTAACCGCTAGTGCACCGGCTTCCACTTCTGTAATATCAGGAAAACACTTACCTCGTAGGGCTTCCAGTTTAGAGACTTCAGCTCTTCCATTCTGCTAGGATAAACACGCTTAAAACAAACAGGCAATTGCCTGCAGCACGGGGGTCTTGAGGGTACAGTCATTCCGTTGAAATTATATTTGACAAAATGAGTTTTTGACTTGGATTTCTTCAGTTAGCCTCCCATTTTCCAGAATCTAGACATCATTTTGAATTGTCACAGAGGTACCCTCAGAAATCTGATTAGGCTCAAGCTAAACATGGAGGGAAATCAAGAAAACACACTCATGGCCCTTAGAAATGCTTTTATTTATAAAATAACTACTTAAATATAAACATCTCTAAATATAAACACTATTCACAAGAGACTCGCGTTGCTGCCTTCAGACCAACCCACAGACACACAGAGCTAAGGGGTACACAAGTGTCTCCCAATTCATCAGGATTTTAAGGCCAAAGGTGCACTTGGACGAGCAGGGGCTGGAGGTGTTCTTCATTCCCTTAAGACAGAATTCATAGTTTCTTGTTTCAAGGTAGGCTCCATATCTGAGGCAGACCTTAAGAATAAGAGCCCTCCTCAAATAGAACTTTTAGGGGGAGATTCTTTCTGTAAGGATTAGCAAATCGTTTCCTGAGGCCAAAGGGAGGTACGATCAGGCACTTTAGAATCTGTTTGGCTTAGACTACGGTCTCTGAAGCACGGAGGTTAGTGGTGAAACAGAGAATGCTTATTTCCAAGTCTAGGATAAGCTACCTCTGGGACTGCTTATCCTAAATCATATAAGACACGTGTGCTATGCTTTCTGCCTCTGTGGGTAGTAGGTGTGGAAGAAGGAGAAAGGCATCTGGTCTTCCACAAAGCCAGACTGCTTCCAGCTCCCTGTGGAACGAATCCTTTTCATGGGGTTGCTGGAGCTCTGAGCCTGTTCTCCTAAGAAAATCTATCAGTTATTGGATTGCAGGTGAAGGGCTAGGAGAGATCACACACGGACTCGATAAAGCAGAGGTGGCTGTTCGAAAGTATAGGTAGCTATACACCTAAAAGGGAAGAGAACCTTCCAGATAAAGATCGAAGGGAAATACAGACCGTAAATATTTTTTAAAAAGAGAAAACAACAGAATTTTGCAGAGCCAATCTGGAAATGCAGTATTTGAAATAAATAAGGAAAAGATTGCAGATGGTAGTGTTTTAGGGACTTTTAGGAATTAGGGGCGGGTGTGTATGCGTGAATGTGTGTGCTGAACACTGGAGCTCTGAAACACCAGATTTGATACAATCTCAACAAACTCCTTGCCACATGCAGAAGCACAGTCTAAAAGGGCTCCCGGAGAATTCGTCATCCAAGTCAATTTCTGGTCATTTGTTCGTGGAGCACAGGACCACCCCAAACTCAGTATGGTGTAACCAGCGCCAACATCTAATGCTGTAGCACAGCTTCCAGCATACATACAATACTGGTTTTCCGGCTGGCGGCTTCTCATTCCCAAAGGCTGACCCACGACTTGCCTCTTCTCATGGTCACTGAATCCTTCATAGCCCTAGGGTCCATTTCAAATCCTAGAAAGTCTAGTGAGCATCAAGATTGACACAACCCAGTGGTGGTGAACAAGACCCATCTTGTGCCCCACTGTGCCATGGTTAAGCAATGTAGACAGGGCCTGTGTCCCAGGAGCAGGTGCCCTCTTGGGGGCCACCAGAACCCTTCAGCAGAAGGAAAGTGAAGGCAGCAAGGTTGAGCGGGAGGGAGAATGGCTCAGGTGTATTCAGTTTTGCGGATATAATTGGATGGAACATAGCCCTTCTTCCCATTAACTTCGGCTAACCACCACTCTGTATTTCCTGTAACATCTTTAAACTCCAGGATCTTGAGTCTCTGATTGGCTGACACACTCAGCTCATTTGGGTTCCGTGCCTTAAAGGTATAGACAGCAAAATAGACCTGGGGAGGGAGAGAAAGTGAGTTAGGAAATGGGAAGCTGCTTGGAGCAATACTGTCCAACAGAACTTCCTTCAGTGGTG